GCTGGCAGGAAGTCAGATAAGGAGAACTACTCAAGCGCCATAAAAATAATTACAGAGAATCAGCATCTTAGTCAGGTAGCCTAGTCTCTAGTGCCAGCGGTTCGTGTAGAGGTAACAGTTGGTAATTCTGGGAAAGGTGAGAGTATGGTGTGGTCTGCCGTGACAGGTTTTTAACTTTTCCTTCCTTACAAAGTATCATTGATCTGCAGTAGTGAAACACAACTGAAGCCTTGAAATTTTGTTTACGAAAATAAAGAATGCTCGAAGAAATAGAAGAAAAGGGAACAAAAGATGTGTGTGTTTTACAAGACCTGGAAGTAAGCCAAAGTTATTACTTTGTGAAAATAGTAGGGTTTTCCGTAAATAATCTAGCTAGCATGTAAATAACTAATATGTGGGAATTGGGGCAAAAGAGCTGGTTATAGGGGGCTGTAGAGCACGTAGCCACCACCTGAGTCATGTATGTTGGATAACCTGGCACTTCAGCTGCGTTCCCTTGAAAAGAATGTAGCTGGGAGCAGCACAGGGAGGATTTGATCTCAGGATATTTATAAATTATGGCTGGAGGTTCAAAAAATGGGGTGAAAAGGCATAGTCCAGGATATCAGTGAAATTTTTAGAAGAAAAATAATAATGATAATAATGAAAATAAAACAAGCAGGTTGCTTCTGAGAAAAAAAAAAGCCTTAAAATCATTGTACCTGAAGAAAAATACAAGACATTGTCTTGAGTGCAGAACTCTTCTGCAGGTAACTGCAGTGGTCTTCTGTGTACCAGACAATCTTCTAGTTCAAAAGGAGTTTCAGTTCTCTTTCTGTCTGTTTGCTTCTGCACCGCCACCCCCCATTCTTGGAGACAGTATTATACCTTGAGGGATAGCTGGAAAGATTTGTGCCAGAAGTGTTTGTGAAAACAATGTTACTAGTGCCATGTTTGTATTAATCAATTGGATAGAAGAGTTAAAGTGTGTACGTCTTTTAATGACATTTTCTTCTGAAACATCAATTTAAATAAGGAACACTTTTTAAAATGTCCCTCAAAAAAGGATGTTTTTCATTCCTGCCTTTGACTTTTTTTTCTTAAAACAAATTTTTCTCACCTCTGAGTCCCGTTGGTTGATTGATGACTTTAGAGCATGGTATTGCCTCCTTTTCTCTTCTCCTTAAAAGGTCTGAGTGTAAGGGGTAGGGACGTGTCAAGACAGACACTTGAAGTGAAATATTTTCTCTTTGGACAAAGGAGCTGAATGAAACCATGTGAGAAGTCCCGTGACATTCATATAATATGCCAATAACTCTTACTTTGCCATCAACACAGAATTGTAACACTTAGTCATGGAAAAAAACCAGGGAATTTGTGGAGAGTAGTTTCCGTGGTACCTAGGTACAGCGTTTTCATTGAACCTGGTTGTGGGAGCTGTGGTCTGGTTTCTGTAAACGCGAGTCTCGAGGGTGGGCTCCTGTCAGGTTCCCCCCATGCCTTGAGCTCAGGCCACAGCCTGCGCCCACTCATACACAGATGGACTCTGGAATCACAAAAGGTTGAGGACCTCGATGTCTGGAGACTTCAGTCCTGTGTAAGACTGAGGGATTGGAAATTCCCGTGTTGAAAGTTACAGGAAAAGGAGAAGGTCTGAGTGATGCAGTGCAGCTGTGCAACTCTAGCATCTATGGCAAGAACATTAAAAAAGTGAATTTAATCCTTTTTTAACACATCTTAAACCCTTAGGGAGACTTGAGGGTGTTAGCAGCTGCTCAGAGAAAGGGAAGAGTGGAGGAGAGTTTGCCAACATTGGTCACAACAATTACAGAATTTCAGTCTGCTCTAGTCTGGCCCTCTGCAAACACGGAGGATACGCACGAGGTTATAAACATTATAGCTGATACAAGGCAAGAGTCATGTTGCTCCCTAGAAGGTAAAATCCTTCAGTTTCAGGATTATGTGTATCTGGTTTGGGCCTACCCACGGAATTTTGAAAGCACCTAAATGCTGAAGGTTGGGAGTTTGTTTTGTTGTTGTTGTTGGTTTGGGGGGTTTTTTGGTTGGGTGGTTTGTTTTTGTTTTTTTTTCTTAAAGCGCTGGGATGATTGATTGGTAATAGGGAGGCTTTTGGGGACAGTGTTCCTGCTGCACTATGGGAGCTGTGTTTGTGAGAGTGTTTGAACTTTTCTACACTCCCTTTAAATAAAGCTCACAGCCTGTGGTTATGCAGCGGATTAATAGTAACAGCTGTGGGCTAACAGAGGATTAAAACTGTCTTAGCATATGAGAACATCAGTGATAAAATGCATCTGGTATGAAGTCTCCGAAGACTTATAGGATTGTATGTAAATAGTAAATATGTTTCTATGGTGCTTATCTTCTCTTCTGCTTGTGACTGCTGGGCTGTTTTCAGAATTTTTGTTTCTGGGTGCCGTGAGGTTAATGATATTTTCAGAGAGGCGGTTATGCGAAGAAGTTGTGTGGGATCTGCATAGCCTTAAAACATTTGTACGGTGTGTTTTGTTGGCAAGGCTTTATAATGGTGGAGAGTTTCATGCTTTGCAGAGTGAAAAGCAGCAAGCTAGTTACACTCTGTGCTAGCGCAGCTCTGTTTCATCATGGATTAATTTGTCTCACTTTTTTTCCTGCAGGGATTTGGTAGGGTAGGGAAATAAAGGAAATATGGTAATGTCGTTCAAACTGCATTGGAAGTTCAAAAATATTTTAAAACATTTACTCCAGGCTGTAGTGTTTAGTTCAGGCTATTGAAATCCTGCCTGTGAAGGAAGGCACTGCTAAGATACAATCGCCCACAAACAGAAAATCACACAGTGCCTACAAGGGATAAGTGACAAATGGATAAATAATTTTAAAACACATGGGACAAAGATATTTTAATAGATCTGTCTAGTAAGTAATAAGGTGATAAAAAATGAAAAAATTACTTCTGTTCATAGATTAAGACAACTTATACTAAATGATTTTGATATTTGTGACCAAGCACGGACAGAAGTCATCAAGGCTTTATAGTTTCTCATATTATTATACAAGCTCTTGTGTTCATATAAGGTCTGTTACAAGTTAAGAGCATATTTTTTTACCTAATCTTCAAATCTGCTTCTTCCAAAATAAGTGTGAAGCTTTTTGTTTGTAGTGTCGTCGTACAGATGCCAACCAGAACTATACAAAGTCTTTCAGTGTTACATACTCCTTTTATATTTGTACAAGCTTGCTCCATCTAGATAGTGGAATGGAAGAGGGAAGCCTCAAAATCACCTGTGGTGATACAGAGTATTTTAAGACTTGCTATGGAGTCACATAAATACATTCAGTTGCTCTGGTTTTATGAATTGCATTGAGTGAGTTGTTCTAAGGTACGATCAAATTGCAACTTGTTTACACTGTTTTTCCATTCATTGCTATTCTTTATAGATATAAAAATAGGGAAACATAAAAAAGATGTTCCGTAGGCATGCATCATGTCTTCTGCAACATGTATAGCTTAAAAGTTTAACTTCTAATATATTCACTATTCTTGAAATATTAAATTTCTCTTGTAAACCAAATAATTGGGATACAGTTGGCTGATGACTAGCTAGGAGAACATATAAAATATTCCTTTTAATTCGGTTTTCACATCTTATTTTTCCTCTTAAAATTTGCAGTTGGCATCTTTCCAACTAACATCTTTTGTGTTAGTTTATAGATTGTATAATACATACTCGTGATAACATTTCCGAGATGCTCTTCCTAAACACAACCCCCCCCAAATTTAAAAAAAGCAAAGCAACTTTGATCTTTTTCTGTACTCTTAGAGAATGTGCTTTTCCAGTGTGTCCACAGGCAGGTATTCTCCCTTGAAGTTAACCTGTATTTGCCATTTATCTCCTCCTAAGACCAGGTTTAGTCATCTCAGTTCAGCACCACCGTTTCCAGAAAAGTCAATCATACTGCATGCTTAGAGGTGAAGCTTTGAGAAACAATTTCATGCTTGCATGCAAATATGTCCTAGTATAAAAAAGAAGGAAAAGGGAAATTAAAGGAGTGCACAAAATTGGTTTTAAGTTTATTGAGAAGGTTACTATGTGTGTTTCTGATCGGTGCTGACAACTCCATTCTGGAGTCAGTTACTGAGGTACCCATCGCTCCATAGAGAGTACAGCACACCTCACAGGGCTGTGATGTGGGCTGCGGCTGAGACCTGGCTTGTATTTGCCCTGCATTCATGCTAGTTCAAATGCAGTCATGATTTAAACAGTGATATAATTTGAGATATAATTAAATAGTGATATAATAGTGATACTGTTTCTGCTGTACACTGGCCAAGCGATTGGTGTAAGAGGTTAATTCTGGTTTAGTATGCAGTGCGGTATTTTACCCTAGGGGTTGGGAACATCTTATGTAAAGCAGTTGACTGAGAAAGTCTTAAGCGAAGCAAAAAGAAAGACCTTGCAGGGAAGCCATATTGACTATCTCATGTAATGACTTTTTCTTCTTAAGTTCTTTCTGCTCCCCTTGATTTAGAAGTCTCTTTAACCTGTGTCAAAAGTCAGCTCTGGCAAAGAGAGAGGGGCTGAGCAGAAGTTAAAGTAAAATGAAGGTGCAAGTTTTGTTTATTTTCATTCTGCTTTCTGTATACTTTTTCTTGCTTATACTTCTGGCCCTAGGAGCAAATGACAACAGAAGCCTCCCTCAACCCCCACAAAATTGATAGAGTTTTCAAATTGTATTTCTACAAAATTTGCTTATTATTGCCAGTTGAGCAACAGACCTTTTGGTTATGCTTAAGTGAAAGTTATATGGCAACTGTAGTTTAATAGCTCATATCCTGATGAGATTCCAGTTCTAGTGGTAACCTAGAGTAGTTGCAGTCTGCTTGCGGTGGGAAAAAGCCCACAGCAGATCCAGGACAGTCGAATAGCATTGTTACAGTATTCTTCAGTATAAGTCTTAAGATCTATGTCTTTTTAGTCTCTGTTCCATTCCTTTTCTTTTCAAATAAAATCTGTGTATTACAGGCAAAAGCAGCAAATTAACAATTTACATCAGAAGATAAGGGAGAATGAATTACGAGCTCAACACGCAAGACTGAGCCATCTTGTGAACTGCGAAGAACCTTACATGACTAATTTGCAGGTAGGATGGATATTTTTCTTTCAGCAAAGCTTTCAGTTGCCCAGTAACTGACACCTGAAAGCATGTTCACAATTTACTGCAGGCCAAAATGTAGAGCTTTTGTGATTATTGATGGTTGTGTAATTGTATAGTTCCAAATTGTATAGAGGAGAATATCCTCTAAGTGATGTAGTTTACCTAACGATTGCAGAAATCTAAGTTACGTTAACATTTTGTACATACTTGTTTTGAAATCTGATAAGAATGGGGTAAGAATGAGGGATTGTGACACTAAGAATAAGGGTTTAACAACGTGCATGTAGCACAGTTACACAGGGAGATACTAGGAGATAAAGTAGTTTGATAAGAGAGTATCTGAAAACAACTGATGGAAGGTTTTCTGAAGAGGAGAAGGAGGTGTTAATTAATCAGAATAACCACTCCCAAAGGAGTGGTTAAATTTTATCGATAGAATAGATGGAAGAGATGTGAGAAGGCAGACAGACTGGTGGAATACCTTTGCACGAGACACCTGAAAAGAATACGGATTAGTACTCCTAGGGAACACTTAGTCTGAAAGGGAATGTGTGGTGGTATTTTGGGCATACCTGTCCTAATTTTTATCTAACTAGCACAAATACCAGAAAGTGTAAGGATGAGGTAGCATAGGCTAACCATGAAATGCAGATCAGTTTGAGGACTGTGGCTGCTACCCTGTTTTAGCACACAAATTCCGTCTCCAGACCTTGGCATATCTAAAAGGCAATGTAGAAAGAGAATGTTAAAGGCAGATGTACAGAGAAATAGCTTTTCTGTCCCCCTTTTATTACCTTATCTTTTTCTGTCACAAGCACTGCACCAGGATCTCAGCTAGCGTACTTCAGCATGACATTAATCATGTCCTTGGAATAACATAGCTGTGTGTCAGATGAGAATCTGTGAGAATCTGGTTTGTGTGAGACAGGAGAGAAATTCAGGTGGAGCCTCAGTATGAAGTTAGGTATTCAGAAACTTTTTCAAACATCTAGGAATATGGCTTTTGGTGCTTCCAGAAGTTTTTATAAAATACTTTAAAATTCTGTCTAGATTAAGATTTTTGGGGCGGGGGGGGAAATTACTGCAGAAACTGAAATTTTAGTGTACATATCTTAGTATACCATAATACACTTCAAATAAAGCAGCAGATGCATTCATATTTAATAATTTAAAGAGTTTAAAAAGTTTATAATGTATTAGGATTTCTGTTTGATTTGTGTGCCTTCTGTAAGATTAACTTACAAATGCAAGTCTCCTTCAATGGAGGTTTTAATATCTTTTAATGCTTTGCTGTAGGAATGTTACTAGTTAAAAATACTGCCTGTATAATTTCTTTAAAAATACCAATTTATGGTATTAAAAGAATCTTGAAACTGAAAGCCTAATGGGATGCATCTCCTTTTTCATCCCATATGCAGCTGATTTCCATTTTGTGCTTGTCTGTCTGTGGGCAGTGGAGGTAGAAGAGTAATATTGAACTGCATGAAATGGAAAGGGAGGAGGGTTTTGGTACACAGGACAGAAGGTAGGAGGCCTGCCTTCTGATTGTGGCTGTAGTCTCAGGCTTGTCCCTGCACCATTCTGCACCTCAGGTGTGATAGCTCTAAGGTTTGACTAGTACTAATGTTCTGCTTTAGAAGGATCCTGAGACTGGAGCATCTCTTACTTTAATATATTCATAGCCATTTTATAGTGTTTTTCTTCCTAGGGGATGGTATGATAATGCAGTGGCAGTGATCTGTTTTGAAAACACTTCTTGTTTGGATTTTCAGGGGGTTCTTTTGGAAGAAAAGTCACACCTCTTCCATAAATCTGAGGAGGAAAGTGGCCCCACAATGTTCATTTGCATGTGTTGTGAATGTAAAGGTGTCCAGCTTCTTTACTTTTTTTGCTCCAGATTCCTGAAATACATTCTGTTACCATGTATTTTAATGTTTGAAAAATCAAACTCCACCCTTCCTGACAGTGGAAAAAAAATGCAGGACTGTTTTCTGCTGTGCTGCTCAAGTATACGGTGGTATGTGTGCATTCATTTGTATTATTATTTTATTTCTTTTTGTAAGCAACCACAGTATGAGAGCACACCACTGCAACCTCACGTTTCAGAAAGATCAACATCCCACCTTGAGGAGCTTGAGCGAAAGATTGCAGCAGCTGAGAATAAGGAATTACAACTCAGTGAATTTGTAAAACAAATCTCAAACAAATCTAGCGAGGAGAAAAAGAAGATGGAGGAGAAAGTAAGTCTTTCATGTTCCAAATTTCCTTCTGATACTGTTACAACAGCATATGTTGTGTTTGCTAGAAAGCAACTTAGTATGTGGGTTGCTGAGCTATTTTTGAAAGGTAGGTAAACTATCTGCGATAGAAAAATTAATAGTGATTGTAGGTGTTGGCAATGGATAAATCTGAAATCCTAAAAAGCGATACTAGATGAAATGGCAATCATGACGATGGTTTAACCAGGTACCAGTTAAACTTGCTTTGAAGAAAAGCTGCTCAGCTCTAAGAATTCATGTATCTTGAAGTGTTTATTACAGTAAATAAAGTATCATTTAAAAACATAGAAAGACTGTGAAAATGAAATCCCTATTTTTAGCATGGCTTGTAAATGTGGGCCCTCATGGTTTGAGATGCACTTACCAGCCTGTATGTGCCTACTCAGCAGGAGTGATTCTCTTGTAGCTTTGCTAGGATGTGCAGAGTAGACTTTAGTCTGAGACAAGGAAGGGGCTTAGATGGCTGTGTTCTTGGAACTGTCTAGACGAGGGGTTTCTCTGGAGGCTGAAGCAATACCCAGGGGTAGTTTTGAATGTCCTGACTGCCTTCTTTTA